GGCGGAATGAGGGATGGGGAATGAATGAGGGACGGGGGGGGGGGGGGAATGAGGGACGGGGGGAGGAATGAGGGACAGGTGGGTGGAGAGGGGAGGAGGATAAGGGGGGGGGGATGAATGAGGGACGGGGGGAGGAATGAGGGACGGGGAATGAATGAGGGACAGGTGGGTGGAGAGGGGAGGAGGATAAGGGAGGGGGGGATGATGAATGAGAGACAGGTGGGGGGAGGGGAGAATGAGGGAAAAGTGGGGGGAGGGGAGAAATGAAGGACAAGTAGGGGGAGGGGGCGAGGAGAGAAATGAGGGACGGGGGGAGATGAATGAGGGACAAGTGAGGGGAAATGAGGGACAGGTTGGGGAGGACTAAGGAACAGGTGGGGGATGAAGGACAAGTAGTGGGGGGTGATAAAACATGGAGTATCCCTGTAAATCCCGGGACACCGCAGGACGCGCTCAGTCCAGGATGAAAGGTTCCCGGTCCTGCGGCACATACAGTCCTGGGTAATACATGTGACCCGTCACCCTGCTCCCCCCCCCCGTGTGATGAGGGGAGCGGTAGGTGGGTCTCCCCCAGTCTCCGCTCCCTTAGCACATCGCCGACCGCTTCACTCACCTCCTTACCGCTCCTGAACTCCACACTGATAAACCAGCTGCAGCCATGAAACCCTCATCCTGATTGGCCCCGTGGGGATGAACCCTTCTCCTGATTGGCCCTGAGGGGACATACCCTCATCCTCATTGGTCATGAACGACGTCCTCTTATCCTGATTGGTCCTAAGTGATGTAACGTACGCTGATTGCTTCGAATGCAAAATAGGCGTGATTACTTACGGCCATTGGTATTAAAGATCAGCTTGCCAGAATACCAGCCATTGACGGCTGGTTGTGGCTCTGCCCCTTCCCTATTGGTTGAGCGGCAGAGCGTGGGTTCGTTTAGACCTCTCTCATTGGATTGAATCAGAGAGACAGCCTATATTACCAGTGAAGGGGTAACAAAGCGGTGTGTGTGACACCCTCCCCCCCACTTCTGAGCGGTGTGTAGTCAGTCATTGGTTGGAGGTGTCGGCTTCCTTCACAGCTCCCAAAGCGGCAGGCAGTACCAATTGTGTGTAAACTACAACTCCCACAATGCACCGGGGAGAGGAGCTGTACTCAGAGCTTTTAGTTATGAGTCTAGCTGTACCTTTATATCAGAATTAGTTCATCCTCCGAAAATCCCACCTCACATCCGGGTCACATAGTACCTCGGGGGTCCTTCAGGTTCTTCAGGTCACACTTCTCACATACAACTACAAATCAGCATTTATAGACAGAAAACCACTCAGAACCCTCAAACATTTTATTTTTTTCAAGCAGAGGCCCTAGACAAAATGACGGGTGCAGAATTTTTTTTATGTCAAGATTATTTGCGCAAATGCAATTTTTTTGGCAATAAAATCATTTCAATTAATTTTAGTGCCCGCAAGTACATTATAATAATACATAATACCCAAATGGTCAAATCAAAAAGATCATGTCACACCGAATAAATAGATACCAAACATGTCACGCTTTAACCCCTTCCCTACCGGGCACTTCTACCCCCTTCCTGCCCAGGCCAATTGTCAGCTTTCAGTGCTGTCGCACTTTGATAATTGCGCTGCGGTCGTGCAACACTGTACCCATATGACATTTTTAGCATTTTTTTTCACACAAATAGAGCTTTCTTTTGATGGTAATTAATCGCCGCTGGGGTGGGGGGTGTTATTTTTTGCCCTATAAACAAGTAAAAAATTAAAAAAAAATTTTCTTTGTTTCTATTATAAAATTTTGCAAACAGGTACTTTTTCTTCTTTATTGATGTGCATTGATGAGGATGCAATGATAGGCAGCACTGATGGGTATTGATAGGCAGCACTGATAGACAGCATTGATAGGCAGCACTGATGAGCATTGATAGACAGCACTGATGGGCACTGATAGACAGCAATGATGAGCATTGATAGACAGCACTGATGGGCACTGATAGACAGCACTGATGAGCACTGATAGGCAGCAATGATGGGCACTGATAGACAGCATTGATAGGCAGCAATGATGGGCACTAAGAGGCAGGACTGATGGGCACTGAGAGGCAGCACTGATGGTCACTGATAGACAGCACTGATGGGCACTGATAGCACTGATGGGCAGCAATGATAGGCACTGATAGGCAGCAATGATGGGGACTGATGGGCACTGATAGCACTGATGGGCAGCAATAATAGGCACTGATAGGCAGCAATGATGGGCACTGATAGACAGCACTGATGGGCACTGATAGTCAGCAATGATGGGCACTGATAGCACTGATGGGCACTGATAGTCAGCAATGATGGGCACTGATAGACAGCATTTATGGGCACTTATAGGCAGCAATGATGGGCAGCACTAATGAGGTGGCACAGATAGGCGGAACTGATAGACAGCACTGATGAGCGCTGATAGACAGCAATGATGGGCACTGATAGACAGCACAGCTGATGGGCACTGATAGCAATGATGGCCACTGATAGTCAGCAATGATGGGCACTGATAGACAGCACTGATAGGCACTGATAGACAGCACTGATGAGCACTGATAGGCAGCAATGATGGGCACTGATAGACAGCATTGATAGGCAGCAATGATGGGCACTAAGAGGCAGCACTGATGGGCACTGAGAGGCAGCACTGATGGTCACTGATAGACAGCACTGATGGGCACTGATAGGACTGATGGGCACTGAGACGCAGCACTGATGGGCACTGATGAGGTAGCACGGATAGGCAGCACTGATGGGCACTGATGAGGTGGTACGGATAGGCAACACTGATGGGCACTGACAGGTTGCACTGATGAGGCGGCACTGGTGGGCATTGATGAGGAGGCACTGATGATGCCGCACTGATATGCAGCAATGATGGACACTGATAGGCAGCACTGATGGGTGACACTGACTGGCGGCAGTGCTGGGTGAAACTGCTGGGCAGCACTGATGGGGGGCACTCATGGGTGGCACTGTTGGGCACATATGGGAACTGGTGGGTGGCACTGCTGAGCGACACTGCAGGGCACTGATTAGTGCCCTGATGATCAGTGCCGATCTCCTCTGTGATAGGTGCCGGTTATAAGCAGTACTTTCCTCATGCTGTGACAGTGTGAGGAAAGTGCTGCCGATAATCGGCAACTGTATTTACAATGTGATCTGTCGTGTCATTGGACACAGCTGATCACGCGGTAAAAGGCCGCTGTGATTGGCCTTTTACTTCATCATGTGATCAGCTGTGTCTGTAGGACAGGTGCGCACCGCTGGAGGCGTGCAGGAGGGAGCGTTCTGGGAGGATGTCATAAGATGCTCTCCCAGAACAGGACAACCGTGCTGTAGCTGTCATCCGGCTATAGCGCAGTAAGGATGTGGTTAAAATTGCGCACACTTGTGGAATGGAGCCAAACCTCAGTATCCAAAAATATCCATGAGCAATAAAAACCCCTACAAGTCACCAGTTTAGAGTCACCCCCGGTTCACATCTATGTGGCCGTGCGGGCTGCGTTTTGCGTGTGGGCACGAGAGCCCATTCATTTGAATGGACTCCCGTGCCCCGGGACATGCAGGGAAGAAGTCCCGGCACTTCTTTGGAAAACGCAGCCCGCATGTGAACCTCAGTTCCCGGTACGGTTGCGTTTCCTAGTGCGGGCGGCGTGCCATTAGAACTAATGGCACCCGCCCGCAGGTCCGCAATTCTCTGGGTGGGTGGGTGGTGCAGCTGCACAGATTTTCATGCGGATCCGCAGTGGCACCACCCGCACAGATGTGAACCTAGGGTAACAGAGGAGGGCTGGTGCTGGAATTATTGCTCTCGCTATACCGTTCGTGATGATGCCTCACATGTGTGGTGTGATTGCCTCCCCCACCCCCTTGGCTTTCCGGTGGTCGTTGGGCTTGTCTGCCTGATCGGTGAGCCCGGGAACCGATCCAGCGATTGCGGTAGCTGGACATACAGATTAGCCGAGGAAAGATGACCTCAGCTAACCTCTATGACCCAGGAGGACCAAAGTGACGTCATAACGTCACTCCGAGGTTCCAGCTGTCTGTAAACAATGCCATTTTTATTTTAGGAAAGCATTAGATCAATGAGCCTTTTTTTTTTATCGATGCTTTCCATTGTAGAGGAGAGATGTGGGGTGTTATAGACCCCACATCTCTCCATGAAGAGGACCTGTCACGATTTATTGTTATCACAGCGGACGTGTGCGTTTTTTGGAATGGGTCAGGGAGTTTGTTGAATGCAAAAAATTGGGTTTTTGGTTCTATAGACTTCAATGGAAATGCTGCATTAAAGCATGTATTGCATTTTTGATGCTGTTTTGCCACTATTTTGATGTGTTTTTGATGAATTTTGCATTTCAAATCTGCCTAGCAACAAGAAAAAAAAATAAAATGAAAAAAAAACAAAAACCCGCATCATAAATGCAAGTGCAAAAATGCAAAACGCAATGCAGAAAATGGCTCAAACGCAACCTGCATAGGTGTGAATGTAGCCATATTATTATTTTACAGGATTTATATAGTACCAACAGTTTGCTCAGCGCTTTACAATATAACGGGAGCAGGGGCGGACTGACAACTCATGTGGCCCCTGGGAAATAGGGGATCATGGGGCCCCTGTGTCCTTGCCCACACTCAAAGCACACCCAAAAAAGCCTATGAAAAAAGTACCAGGGGCATTTCATGGGGCCCCCTACTGACCCCGGGCCCTCGGGCAGTGCCCAAGTGCTCAAATGGTCAGTCCACCCTGAACGGGAGACAATACAGCAACAATACAGTTCAATACAAGAGGGTTGGGAGGGCCCTGATCCTTGGAGCTTACAATCTAAGGGAGGGGATGGTGGTACAAAACGTAATAACTGTGGGGGATGGACTGGTAGGAGGAATAGAAGATTCCATTATTAGTTGAGGGCAGGATAGGCTTTCCTGAAGAGAGAGGTTTTCATAGATCGCCTAAAAGTGAGCTGAGTAGGCGATAGTCTGATAAATTGGGGTAGAGAGTTCCAGAGGATGGGGGGAAGCTCTGGAGAAGTCCTGGAGATGTGCATGGGAGGAGGAGACAAGGGAGCTAGAGAGCAGGAGGTCGTGCGAGGAGCGGATGAGAGGACGGTTTGGGTGATATTTGGAGACAAGATTGGTGATGGATTTTGGGGAGGGCAGAGTTATAAATGGCTTTATATGTTATTGTTAATGTTTTTAATTTTATACGTTGGGCAATGGGAAGCCAGTGGAGGGATTGGCAGAGAGGGGTGGAGGACACTGAGGTGAGGCCAGTGGAGGAGTTGGCAGAGAGGGATGGAGGACACTGAGGTGAGGCCAGTGGAGGAGTTGGCAGAGAGGGATGGAGAACACTGAGTGGAGGCCAGTGGAGGGATTGGCAGAGAGGGATGGAGGACACTGAGTGGAGGCCAGTGGAGGGATTGGCAGAGAGGGGTGGAGGACACTGAGTGGAGGCCAGTGGAGGGATTGACAGAGAGGGATGGAGGACACTGAGTGGAGGACAGTGGAGCGATTGGCAGAGAGGGGTGGCAGATACAGAACGGTTAGTAAGGTGGATGAGTCTGGCAGCAGCATTCATGATAGACTGAAGAGGGGATAGCCTGCGATGAGGTCGGCCAATGAGGAGGGAGTTACAATAGTCGAGGCGTGAGATAACAAGGGAGTAAATACGTTTCTTAGTGGTTTCCAGGTTAGGAATGGGCGTATCTTAGAGATGTTGCGGAGGTGAAGTCTACAAGATTTGGACAGTGATTGGATTTGGGGCTGAAAGGACAGATGGGAGTCTAGGATTACACCTAGTACCCTGGCATGGGGGAGGGACTGATGGTTGTGTTTATTGATCTTGATGGAAAAGTCGGGGGAGGGGACAGAGGCTGGAATGCATTCACACTTGAGTGTTTTGAAGCTTGAAGCTCCAAGCTCCAAAAAAGCTCAAACTTAAAAAATCAATTCTTCTCTATGGTGCCTGTTCACACCTGATCACGCGAACAGGCACCATAGAGAACAATTGATTTTTTTTAAGTTTGAGCGGTCTTTGAGCTCCAAGCTACAAAATGCTCAAGTGTGAATGAAGCCTAACTCTAAACTGGTAACCTGGAAAGTCTTTTAAAGCGTCGCCCATGGACTGTAGTTTGGTGCAATTCCACAATCGTGAGCAATTTTAAAGCTTGACTTGTTAGGTATCTATTTACTCGACGTGACATCTTCTTTCAAATTTAGCAAAAAAAAAAGGGCTATATAAGGTGTTTTTTTAAATTCATCGAAGTGTAGTTTTTCCGGAAAAAAATTACGTTTAAAAAATCTGCTGCGCAAATACCGTGTGACATAAAGACTTGTAAATGCCATTTAATTCTCTAGGGTCTCTGCTAAAATATAAATATATATACATATATATATAAGGTGGTGGGGTTGGTCTGCTCCTGTCACCGCAGCGAGCACCTTCCAAGTCCTCCCAAACCCCCCCCTCTCTATCCTTCTCCTCCTTTGAGGCCCACTGCATCCGACTATTCTCTCCAATAGTCTCTGAGAGGATTGCAGTAATCTATCGCCTCCTGGACCCGTGTCCCGCTTCCTCGACGACTTCTCCGCCTGGTTACCCTTCTTTCTCTCCTCCGAGCTGCCCACCATCATCCTCTTGAGACTTCAACATCATTACCAACATCAATAGCCCGGCCACATCCCAACTCCTCCACCTAACCTCCTTTTTCACTTGCACAGTGCATACAGTACTCCACCCCACTCCAACGGGAACACCGTGGACCTTGTTTTCTCTCATCTCTGCACCCCCACATCCTCACAAACACCCCTTTTCCCCTCTCTGACCACAACCTCATCACCTTCTCCGTCTCCTCGTCCTCTTACACCTACTCCCCGTCAAAACGTCAAACTATCACACAAGCCGAAAACCCCTGCAAACCTGAACCCTGCCCCCTTCCACTCTGCAGCTGACCAACTTTACGACAGTGTCCTTCCCCTGTCCCTGCCCTGACCTGGCCACTACTGTTTTATAACAACTCGCTGTCAGCTGCTCTTGACTCCTTAAGCACCCCTAACTACACGAAACATTAGACCCCGACCGCTTCAACCTGCAGAATGAACATACAAAAACCTCAAGCGACGCAGTCGCGCGCTAGAGCGACTATGGCGCAAAACCAATCCAGCAAGCGTTCACCCGATATAAATCCGCCTTCCTCACCTACACTTCCTCCCCTCCATGCTGCCAAGCAAGCCTTCTTTGTAACCCTCATCATACCCTCTCTTCCAGCCCTCGCCGGCTCTTCTCCACCTTTAACTCCCTGCTCTCTGCCCCCCCACCTTCCCACCCGAGTTACTTCACTCACCGCCCAGGAGATTGCTAAACCCTTCAAAGCAAGATCAATTAATTCTAGGGCACTTAACCATCTGCTCAGACTCCGGCACCTAGCATCGACACACGGAAAAACCCCTCAACACTCCTCTCTTGACTCGCCACTGTCCAGACCTCCACCCGCAACTTCCTCATGCT